GCCAAAGTACCCTGGATCACCAAATCCGCTGAAAACTTGTACCCAGGGGTAGTTCGACCTCCTGAACACGAATATCACATCCGCTCGGCCTGAAACTGCTCGAAGATCGCGCCACGGGCGCCGGCGCCAAAATGCCCCAATACGCTGGCGCCTGTGGCGCGGGCGCCATGCACTTTCAGGCCAGATGGATGTTATATTCGTGTTCAGGAGGTCGAATTACCTCTATAACCCGAATTTCAGCCAAATCCGCTTTCGTAGAAAAAAGTCGATCAAGATCCGCCCTGTTTTGGCAAAACTGGGGTAGTAATAGTTGAATAGTGCCAAATTTTTCACATATACAAATACTTATCGTAGAGCATGAGCATCCCCGGCAACGTTCGTTTTTCATGATAATCACTTCCAGTCTATGAGATAGCTCATAGCTTCAACCAGTGGGACTCAGCGAGGCATACATTATTTAAAAACTAAGGCGTGCGCTTGAGTTTGTCTTAGCTCTCATAACTAGCCCACACAAACCGCTCGAAATGAAGGCATCACATCCTTGCCAGTTTGTCGAGTTTTCTTGATACATTCCCGAAAATTTTCTGAGCATTCATTGGTCGATTATCTCGAAGGCATTGCTTTTATGTGGGTCCTTTGGTTTTTTTAGTGGATGGAGAATATCTAAATCTTCACCCAAGAAATCAGGGTTTTTGTTTCAACTGTTTCTTTACATTACCAAAGCCCACTAACCCTCTAATATTAGCCACTGATGACCGCCACAAGCGTGGTGATAGAAATAGTATAAAGTAAGCATCTCGTGGTCCAAAAATCAGAATCTTCTTTCCGCAAATGACAAATGTTGTGCACGAAATCTGCATGACTTTTCCCTATTGTTATAAATTCAAGAACTAATTTTGAACAAGCTGTGATAGGTTTTGCATCGTGTTTTTAGGTCATCCTTTCTCCTTAATAATGTCAATAGGGCTTGTCATCATATTAACAGCCATTATAGATAATTGATCTGAAGAAATAACAAAAATCAATGTGCACACTCGTCAGACACGTACATATCCGGCATTAATATTACTGCCAGCACCTAGGCAACTTATGAACACCGTGATACCAGGTTGGCGCTAAGTAAAAAAGGGTTTCAGCGCGACTTCGACTTAAAGGCGCGCCCCGTGTTCATTTGATGTTCACAGACTTTTTGAGACATAGGTAGTATTTTCCGCAAGCTTAAGTATGCACCATTTTTGCGGCGCAAGAGTAGGTGAGGAAAGCGCGGCCCGCTCGCAACGGAACCACGGCCCCGCCATTGACCACGGCGACGCCCAATTTTCATTTTTAACTGCTGCGTGGTGGTGCGATTGTTCTACCACCAGCTTTTTTTCATTTCGAATAGTGAGAGCCAGGTGACAAAGAGAGAGAGAGAGAGAGAGAGAGAGAGAGAGAGAGAGAGAGAGAGA